AAAAAAATAATTAAAAATACTTCTGGGAATGCCAGTCATTCTTCATGTGACACAAAAGTTAGTCTGACATGGCTTGCAGAAGAGAAGTCTATTTGATTTGTCCAACTAATATGCCAGGCTGAAATACAATTCTTGCTCCCTTCTCAGTCATTCCCTGTATAATACAAGCTATTCTCTGTTAAACATGTTTGACCATTTTCTTCCTGACTTTCATTCTAACTACTTAGGCCCAGTTTTTTTTTCTCTACATAACACTGATGAAGAGCATCTGTACAATCTTCTTATGAACTGAGATCTGGAACATTAAAAGAACCAAATCTCAAGGCTTTTTTCTACTTAATTCAAAATTAATGTAGAGTATTTGCAGTAGTGTATTTACCTAGATGACAGATGCTTTAACCCCATCCAGTAGGGGTCCGGAGGGATAAAACCATACCATCTCTTTCGTAATTTTGACAACTCAAATGTACGAGAGGAAGTATATTTGAAATATATTTTATTGTAGAAGTACAGTGTTCAAGGTAATAAATTTCGAGACAGATAACCACCATAAATAAGGCAGATGAAGTTTCCCACAGATTAAATCCTCAAGCGCAAACAGGCGAGGATGAGGATCAGAGGGTGTCTTTGACTGACAAACAGACGTACCTTCAAAGGTAATACTTCTTTGTTGATGGAAAAAAATACTGCCACAGCTTTCGTCCACGAGCAAAGGCCAGCAACATTTCCACATACTCTCTTGGCTGTCTCAATGTTGTAGTCCACCATTTCAAAATAAGGGCTCAAAAGTTCTACCACTTCTTCAGTAATTGTGTCTTTCTGAAATTGCTGAAAAAAATTTTTGAAAGCGCAAGATACAAAACATGTGCAGCAAGTGTCAATTATATATACATGCATTTCAGAATACATAGAACACTAGAAAGATCACAAGTATTTCTTACAAATAACTAATATGAAATTATTTGTCACATGTATCTTTGAGACCTTTATTAAAGTCATTCCACTTTACGAAATGGAAAAAGGTTTACTTTCACTTATGACCTTCACTATCTCAATTCACTATTCCTGTTACACAGCTAATAATTGTTTCAAAATATCACTGGTCCTGCTAGAAATTTTGTTTTGCTTAATACAGAATAAGTTTTAACAATCTTCAAAAAGAAAATGAAGCGCTAAATTCTAGTTCAAAAATATACATTCTGCAAAACAATCCTTTCAAAGGTCAAAAGCCATCTATCTTACCCTTAAATTACCTTGTCTAATTGCTGGAATGTATTTAATTTTTAAAGAATTTATTTTTACTCTTTTCTTGAAAAAGCATATTTTTCCTTTTTCCTCCCGAAAAGCTCTCAATTTTCTCTTTCAAATTTATTTACAATGTATAATGAAACCCAATCCCAAACTTGAAAAAGAGCTGTTCCCTGAAGCACAAATAGGTTTAATTAAGCATGAGTGAAATTAATCGTTGAAGTCCTTTAGAAAATTTAAAATCTTTACAAGTAGATGCAATGTGAATACTTCATAGGTAACATCCATGCCCCTACCAACCATACAAAGCTGCTCAAGCCTCCTACTAGACCAGTGACAGATTAAGTAAACTCAAAATGCAGAAATCAGGGATGATAACACTTAGTGGAGCAGGGAGATATACCATTTATTCCAAATAGATAAATCATAATATTATTTGTTTTAGTTATGAAAAAGGATTTGTTTACCAGTTAGTTAGTCTTTCCATTTCCCTAGACAAATCCTGTGAACCAAAAAAATCCCAAATTTTAAAAGCTGGGATGGTGGTTGTGTTCATCCTATTAACCATCTATGCTTTTCCAAATGTTGAAATGTTGAAAATTAATGAAAAGTTAAATACCAGAAAAAAATATGGCTTTTATCAGCTTTAATAAAGCAAATAAATAATGCCTATCAAAACCAAATGCTTCAAACTTTGAGTCATTTGTCACCTAAAACAAATGTATTGCCTTACTTAGCAAAAATTATAGTTGATTTATAACATGACTTTTTAAGAAGGATTAAAGTTTATTTCATCCTGACATATTTATTCTTAAGTCCTTATAATTTCAGATCTATTATGTGATTTCCCTTGCACGTTTGTTCTCCTACGAGCACCAGGGAAAACATTGTCCCTTAAAAAATAAGGAAAAGGTTGCACAAGCACCTGTACACTCTGTAAGAAGTTCCCTGTTGTCATCAGCTTCAGCAACTCTTGCCACAATGGGACAGTACAGCGTTTTTCCTGATCAATTTTCACGTGGTTAACTTTACGCTGGAAGAGCAGCAGCACACAGACCATAATACGCATGATGAGGTGAGGAGATCGACCAAGTGTGCCCACTGTGGCAATATCTGCAGGTTTTATTGTCTAGGAATTGAAACAAAGGGCAAAGCAGTTACTGTTTAGTTAATAAAACATGGGGCATAAGTTCACCAACTTAATGGTGAACTTAAGCAATGGGAGAAAAAAATATATATATGCTATTTTTACCTCTAAAAAGCATGAAGCTAGAAGGACCTCCCCCAATCAGATTTTCACTGCTTACTCCTATCAACTCCTAGGAAACCTCAGCACAGCATCTCCACACCTTAAAGCTCAAAATTACCATGAACTGTTTTGACAATAAAAAAGAGCAAATCAGAAATATCTTGAAATTTTACTTGTTTTTTAAATGTGAACATATTGACCAGAAACTGTATCTAGAAAGAAAATACTTTTTGTTGACATCCAGCAAATGAAGGTAAATTAAGGAAACCAGTGAGAAGGCCTGGTATATCTATATGTTTGTATCTCCTAGTACATCTTACCAGGAATATTCCTGGCATAGAAGGAGGCCATAGAAAAATATATTATAATAAGGTATTAAAACCTAGGCCCTAACAAGTAAGGCTAAATAAGCCTAGGGTGCAAGTATAACACTGTAACTCGTAACTCTACATCATGAATCAGAAAACACAGAAAAGTCTGCTGAAGATGTCTCCTTGGAGAAGACTCAATTTGAGCAGCAGTGTTTACTGCACCACATACAAAGCAATAAAACCACTGAACAATGGGAACAGCTGATGGGCAGACCTGTCCTGCAACACACACAACTCTGAGCAGTTGTTTTGCTTATTTACAGGCAGCTTAATAAGTCCAAGTACACGACAGCCCAAACAGTAAGCAACAGATTCCTGTCAGTGTCATGACATCTTGCTTCTAGCCTAGCACATGCCTCACTGGGAATTCACAGAGGCAGATTTTAATTACACTGCAGACCATCCAGATCGCCTTCCCTCTGCCAGCCCTTTGTTTCCCTTCAATATTTTGCTGCTTGTTGGGCTCACTGTGCACGAAATAATTCATCAGAGATTTTCCAGATATCTGTGTGAAAACTTTGCCGAGTGTTTCTTTGTGACTGTTAGGAAATTCAGCTCAGCCTTTTTTTTTTTTTTTTCTAAAATACAAATTGTGACAAAATTGTTACATTTAAATTTTATTCATTTATTTATTTGTCTATAGTTCTGCATTTAATGTGCTATATTTATTACAGGGCAAAGTGCTACAAAGTTTTACTGAACTCTGACAATTCTTACTCAAACTTTAAAAAACTAATCTCACTATATGTTTAGAAATGCTTATAAGATGCTGTGTACCTACCTTTCTCTTAATGTAGCATTTATCATTCTTAAAAGATGCTAAAAAATTGAGTAAAATAGCTAATCACTTTTTTTTTAATCTGGGTAATGACCTTTCTATTTACCAAATATTTTAATAGGCATTTACCTACTCTGCAACCAGAATTCTACTATAGGAATCCCTAGCTCAAATTTGCAAATCCATAATGATTATGAGATTCATTTTTGAAAAGTGCAGACCCATACAGAGAAGATTCTTGCTTAAAGGAGTGAATGAATGAATGAATGAATGAATGAATGAATGAATGAATGAATGCATGCTGAGAATACATAGACACATTCTGCTAGATCGCTTTTTATGACAGTTTGCCTTCCCCCTTTAGACATAAGCAAAGCAATTTATTATAGAAAAGTCAAAAATTTTAAGATTAAGCCCAAATACTTTTTCCCGTTGAGAAGTTTTACAATAATGCCAGCTTCACTTTTTCTTGAACTCAGGTTTTCAGTTATTAGCACCCTGCATTTCTAGAAGAGCAGTATTGTTTTGGTTCAGCCATTTTAGTCAAAAGCAGAAAGTAACCTTTAATAAGATACAGGTCGACCCAGCCTACTGGTACCCTTTTTATACTGCAGATGCTGACTAATTAACATTGCTTATTTTTCACTTGTCAGAATGCTTGCCCACTACCAGGTTTGCTGTTTTGTTGTTGCTAGCTCTTTAACCTTTTTCCTGTGGCTACATATCAAGGTCCTATAATACACACCTTCTCCAGCTGTCAGGTCATCCACCTTCATTTAGACTTTTGCACTCTACCCTTTAAGCATCATGGCAGTTAGAGGCTATTAAACATCTCTCACTCAAAATGAAGTCTTACATTCAGAAGAGCCATAAAAATTCTTCTACACTAGATTTTAAAGCTAATCATGGCATTCTTTAACCATCACAACAAGCCTCTCAAATGGAAAGGTATAATTTCCAGCAAATCTACATAAAACCCTTTGAGGTTTGTCTATCCTTCAGGTTCTTACCTCATACTTCTCCATTTCTTGAGATGTGAGCTCCTTGCTAGCGTCTTCATACTTTTCCATTTCTTGAGATGTGAGCTCCTTGCTAGCGTCTAACAGGTGTATTTCAGATTCCACTAGTACTTCTCACGGTAAAATGTCTTGAGGCACATCCTCCTATAAAGTCAGCTGCCGATGCGCTCTCTTCTCCCCTCTGCTTTCCCTTGCCTCGGCTAGCCCCAGGGAGAAGGGGAGCAGGCAGATCTCCAGCGCCTCCCACTGAACCCTCGCGGGCTTTGGGCGGCGCTGTGTGGGTTTGGAGAGCAATCAGCGAACCCCACGGTGGTTTAATGAAGAGAGACTTTCTCTGGGGGGCGAATTCCGTTTTATTGCAATCCAATGGGTAAAACAATAATCCAAAGGGAACCAGGCGAGCCGCGACGGTGTTTGTTGGGGCCGTGCTAGTGGGTGGGGCGGAGCGGCGCACTGGAGCCGGCCGGGAGGAAAGCCCCGAGCAGCTTGGGTGGGGCGGCGGCACGTGCTGGTGCCAGCCAGGAGAAAGCCCTGAGTGCGCTGTGCGCGCGGACTAAGTACAGGACAGAAGGAAACTTGGGCAGCCAATGGGGTAACGCCACGGGGGGTTTGAGGGTAGTGGGGTACAGGGGTACATCCAATGAAGGACGGACAGGTGGAGGGTCCCAGGTCGTCTGCCTATCGCCTGGCATCCTGGGTGGAAGATTCCAGGTGGGGGGAAGGGATACCGAGTGACAGACAGGCATTTGGGGGTAAACACAGTGACTTGGCATTTCTTGGGGACAACAGACTCGTGGGGAGAGACGGGAAGACCCGGGGGGAATCGTTATAGGACCGGGGGTACATGGAACAAACTTATACATAATACAAATGTAATAAAACATAAAAACCACAACTCTACATCTTCCTCTCTTTTGTTTAAAAAGAAAAGAACGGAAAATAACTTAAATGAGGGATTTGCAGTCCTGTTTCCCATCGTCGAACCCGATGTCCTCTGGGTGTTCTTCTTGGTTCTTTTCTGGATGTTCGGCGTTGAGCGGTATCAGCTCTGATGGGGCAGCGAAGACGGCGCGGTTGATATGCATGGTGGAGTTGATGGCCTTTAAATTTTTTAACAACACTAAAACTAATAACAAAAACAATGAGTGCTAACAGTAACACAAGTCCATTTTTCAAAATGGATTGGATCCAACCCGTGAGACTGCATCCTTCAAAGTGACCTCAGCCAGTCACTTGCGAGAGGGATGAAGCTCATTGACGCTGACATTGTGGGTTGTACCCTGGGCAGGGTGAATGTCTGAAAAACAACTGGAACATTAATTAGCATTAAAGGGAGGGTTGATCTAAATCAAAAGGGAAGAGCGAGTCTGGGGAACTGGATTGGGAAAGGGAAGGCTCTGAGAGAGAAAGTGTTGATCTGGAAAGGAAAGGGGGAGACTTTCTCCATCTGCGGAGGGCTGCATGCCTCACCTGAGGATCTTCTTTTTTGTTGGTCTGGTGTTTGGGGACATATGGCCGGACAAATTTGGATGGGACCTATCTCAGGCCTGAGGGCGTGGACACGCAAGCGTATTCCCGTCCCCAGGTGACTAACTCATGGGGTCCTTCTAGCTGCCAGGTCTCCGGATCTTTAATGAGCACTGGTGGTCTCTCCCTGGCCTTGCTCTGCTCGTGGTTGCCAAAGTGCCTAGTGATTGGCCGGTTGAGGGTTTCGAAAGAACAATTTAAGAAATTCAATGTGAAGAGGGCTCGCGCGAGTCGAACTTGGGGGGACTCAACTTTCATAGTTAGTGTTCGTTGTTTTAGCATACGCTTAAGACTCTGGTGAGTCCGCTCCACCACGGCTTGGCCTGTCGGGGAATACGGGATGCTGGTTTTATGCTCTATTCCCCATTGCTGCAGGAAGCTGGCAAACTCCTTGGATGTGTACCCAGGGGCATTGTCAGTTTTTATTAATTTTGAGGCGCCTAGCATAGCGAAGGCCTGTATTAAATGTTTTTCAATGTCTTTGGCTTTCTCCCCTGTGTGGGCAGAAGCAAAGACTGCCCCAGAGAAAGTGTCTACGGAGACATGGACGTACTTAATCCTCCCAAAGGAATGGATGTGAGTAACATCCATCTGCCACACTTCGCAGGACTTTAGACCCCTAGGGTTAGCCCCTGCGTTCACTGATGGTAAGGGGAGCGATTTACAGGACGGGCAGGTGGCCACAATGGCTCTGGCCTGGTCATGAGTGAGGTGGAATTGCCGGACCAGACTGGGCACCATTCTGGTGGTAAAATTGGTGGCTGATCTTAGCTTGCTGGAACTTATCTGGGAGTGGTGCTATCTGTGCCGGGGCGGCAGCGAGAGAGTCGGCATGCCGATTGCCCTTGGCCAAGAACCCTGGCAGGTTGGTATGTGACCTGATATGCATCACGTAAAAGGGTTGCTCTTGGTGGGAGACTAACTTAATCAGTTTCGAGAGCAACTTATGCAGGGCTTCGTTGGACACACCCTGCAGGACAGCATCCTGCGCTCTGGACACTACGCCCGCTACGTATGCCGAATCGGTTACCAAATTGAAAGGTTCAGAGAACCGCTCAAAAGCTCTAACGACAGCGGTCAACTCAGCTATTTGAGGGGAACCTTCCACCTCAATAATGTCTGTCTCCCACTGCTGCGTCTGGGGATCTTTCCAAGTTATTACGGACTTGTGAGAACTTCCAGACGCGTCTGTAAAAACTGCTAAGGCCTTGAGTGGCTTTTTGCTCTGAATTCGTTTGATGGATAATGCAAATTGAATTTCTGATTCAAAAATTTTTTGGGCTGGTCTCAAAACTGAAATTCTGCCTGTGTAGCTGTCTAGAGAGAACTGAAGAGATTCATTTTCCTGTAAAAGGTGTTCTATCATGGCCTTGGTGAATTGGCCCGATTCCAGTTTGATTGGAATGTGAATGCATTCGAAGTCACATCCAGCTAACTCTCGGATCTGCGCTCTTGCTTTGCGGATCAGTTCTGCTACTAACTCTTGTGGCCGTGTCATTCTCTTGGACCGATGGTGACTTAGGAAGACCCATTCTATGATGGAGAGTGGGTCCCTTTGGTCTTGGCCCTTGCCCTTCTTTAGGGTGTCTGTCCATTGAAATATAACACCACGGAGGTGTGGCAGTCTGCCCAATATGATGAATTTAAAGGGCGAGTCCGGATTGTACCGGTGGGCCTGTCTGGCAGACATTGTCTCCTGGACCTTATTCAAAGCTGCCTGGGCCTCTGGGGTGAGTTCCCTGGGAGAACTCGGCTCTTCCCCCCCTTTCAATAAATCAAAAAGAGGGGCAAGGTCTCTGTTTGTAATACCTAACCAGGGCCTCACCCAGTTCAAAGAACCACATAGCTGCTGGACGTCTGCTAGGGTCTGAATTTTATTTTTGATGGCCAATTTTTGCGGAACAATGGTCTGCTTGTTAATCTCCAAACCCAGGTACTTCCAGGGTGGCATCTTTTGAATTTTGTCCTCTCGCAGCTCAAACCCTGCAGCAATCAACTCATCGGTTGTCAGGTTAAGCACGTGTGTAAGGAGATTGCTGTTGGGAGCACAAATTAAGATATCATCCACATAGTGCTGGAAGATCACGCCCTTGGTGGCTGCACGGATGGGGGTCAGCAATGAAGCTACGGACCGCTGGCAGATGGTGGGTGAGCATTTGAGGCCCTGAGGCAACACTCGCCAGTGGTAGTGCTCCATTGGGGCTTCTCGGTTGGTGGAGGGAACCGAGAAGGCAAAACGTGGCGCGTCTTCAGGGTGTAGGGGAATATGAAAGAAGCAATTTTTAATGTCAATGACAGCCAATTCCCAATCTTTTGGCAACATTGTGGGGGACGGCATCCCTGGTTGGAGGAGACTCATATTTTCAATCACACTGTTGATAGCAAGGAGGTTGTGGAGGAGCCACCATTCGTCTTTGCCAGGTTTTTTCAGGCCAAAGACGGGGGAATTCCAGGGAGATGTTGTTTCTTGGATATGTCCTTTGGCAAGTTGCTCTGCCACGAGCTTCTGGAGCGCTTTTAATTTTTGTTTATTGAGCGGCCACTGCTCTACCCAGATCGGAACATCAGAAAGCCAATTCAACTTTTGGGTAGGATGCTCCTCAGTGACCGCTGCCTGAAAAACCTGAGGGGTTGGAATGTTCAATGTGACCCCCCACTGGGCCATCAGGTCCCTTCCCCACAGGGGCTCTGTGTAATCTAAAACAAACGGATGTAGGTAAGCTGATTGTCCATTTGGCCCCTCAAATTTTATGATGTTTTTTGATTGTTTTGCCAATTGTGCCCCTCCAACACCTTGAATTTTTCCAGCCACATCCTGCAACTCCCAACGCGATGGCCAATCCCGTGAGGGAATGACTGTGACGTCTGCCCTTGTGTCCAAGAGGCCGTTAAGCCACTTGTGCTCACTGCCATTCCACATGTAACATGCGATTTTGGGTCTTTCCTTCCCAAGTACCTGGGCCTGACACACCTCGTAGATTTTCTCAGCAGTCTTCATCCATAGATCTTCTGGATAGACAGGGGGCCCAGATACTGGTATGGCTTGGGCGATGATTTGCCCTTTGGAGAAGGTTGACTGGCGGGTGAGCACAGTGCAGCCACAGCACCAGGTGTTTGGGGTTTGCAGATGTTAAGTTGGGTGCAATAGTGATCTCGAGTGGTGTGTGTTTTGTGTCCCCAAGGATAATGTACTTACTGTGGAGTCTCCTCCAGGTCCCTGGGTTCTGTGTGTCAACCGTGACAAAATGCCAATTGCTATCCTTGAGTAGCAGAGGTTCGGTCAGGGCCAATCTGTATGGAGAGAAGTTGGACTGGGTGTTAAGGATGGGCCTGGGATGGTCGGGGTCCCGACCAAGCCATGCCTGTGAAATGAAATTCCCAACTCCCCCCACGCAGGCTGGTTCACCAGCTTTAGTTCCTCTAGTGTCCAATCCGGTAATGTCATGTCTGGTAATAGAGTCTTTGTCCTCAGGTGGGTATGCTGATGTGTTGTCCCTCCTTTCCCCTGATGTTATGTTTCCCACCAAATTTGTGTCCTCACGCAGGGAGGGACTGCGCTGAGAAACTAGTTTTTTGATTGTTCCCCTGGGTTGGGGGCATCTTGCCCTTGCTGTTTGTTTTGGTTTCTAAAATGTAAAAAGTCCTCTTTCAGGCGGCAATGGGATGCCCAGTGTCCTTTCTTATTGCAGAGGTTACAGGGTTTTCCCGGGTGGTAACCTTTGGGGGGTGGCCCTGAGAAGCGGCACGCAGGAGCTGGGGTTGTGGATGGCGTGTGGGCTTTGGCGAAGGAGACCCTCCTTGATGGCATTCGGGGAGTCACCTAGAGGTCCTTTGATGGTAAGGTGACCTTTCGAGCGCACACGTCCAGCATGTCTTGAAGTGTTGGCTCTGGGTCGAGGGGAAGGCTCAGGATCGCCTGTTGGCAGGCTTCGTTGGCGTTCTGGAGTGCAATTTGCTTCACTGTGCCTTGCCTCAATCCCTCTTCTGGAATCTGGGCTTCTGTTGCCCTGCACAACCTATCTACGAAACTAATGAAAGATTCCTGAGGCTCCTGCTTAAGAGAGAAACAGTTAACAACAGGACCACTGGGTCTTAACTTAAAGAATGCTTTTTCTGCCGCCTTGGCACTTGCTGACAGTGCCCCCCTTGGAATCTTTTCGGTCTGCCTTGCTGCCGTGTCCCAATCCCCCACCCCGCACGGATGATCAATTGACAACACACCCCCATCGGTGTCTACGGAGGTCTCTGTATTTGCCCAAAGGCTGGGTAATAAATCTCGTGCTTCCCGCCTCCATGCGGATTCCCAGACCAAAAACTCAGCTTGAGTAATCAAACACGAAAAGGGAGTGCGCATGTCAGCAGGGACATATTCATTTGAGGAGAGCGTAGCTCTTAACAGCCCCCTAAATATTCACTTTCCCAGACAAACTCCTTTTGGGCTTTGCAGAGATCCCTGATTACCGACTGTGGGATTGGAGTCCACTGTGTGAGGGGTCTGCCCCTCTGTCACGGTGTATAGGTGACCGGTGCAGCAGAAAAGGCAGGCAGGGATTGGGGCAGGTCGCAGTTCCCCCGCTCCCCACCCCCGGAAACCAAAGCGTGGGAACCAGAAGGGGGGTCGTGGGAACTGAGGGAGGAGGCAGAACTAGGGCTAGGGGGTGTGGCAGGTGTTACATCACCCCTAGGGGAAGGTTGTGGAGAGGGGTCGGGGGTCTTAAAACACTATGGGGCAGGGCTGTATAAAGAGAGGGAATTGGGGTATGGGGAGAGTGCAGAGCGATGCCAGCACTGCCCTGCGAGGGAACCCGGGGGTTAACAAAGGGGCCAGAATCTGCCGGCGGCTGCTGCCAGGATGCCCGTCTGAGAATCCCCGGGCGGGGGAGAGAGGGAGAGGAAAGCGGGCTAGGGGTTTTTAAACTGGGGCTGCATTTGCCTTCGAGTGGCTCTGGCATCCCTTCGCTGTTATCTTTGACAATATTTCTAATTTGGAGTGCCAGATGAATGAAAATTGAGAGGAAAGGGTCCTCTTTTCAGACAATTTCCCTTCCAACTTGGTCCCAAAACTGGATTTGGTATAAATTTGTTGTCGACAGATCCTGGAAGGACTGCAGAAGCCACCGGACAAAATGTCTGACATCGGACTTTTTAATCTTTTTTTCTCCCCCAACCAGGATCCCAACAACTTGGACATAAATTCTCTCTGCGACACTGACAATTTAGCACCCATATTGTCGATCTTAAATGTGCCGCTAAACCTCATAACTGGGAAAATAACAACAGAAAAGACCCCTTTTCAGACGCTGGGTAGACCTGTCATTACAAACTCCCTGCCTAAAGGGAGACCCGCAAAATGTGGGATCTTTCGCCCCCGCGGGAGAAAGAGAAACCCACCCCAAAAGAGACAAGGTGTGCCCAGCCCCAGGGGCCCCCCGTAACTTACAGAGGGTCCAGCGAAGTCCAAAGGGGAAACGAAAAATCCAGCTGTGAAGTTTTCGCCGCAGGGGGACCGGTCTTTGGTGGTGCAACCCGAAGCTGCCGGTCCGTCCTCTGGGAAACGCTCGGCTTGCTAGAACGGAGCCTTGGCTTGCAGGGAGGTATTGTAACGTCCACAAGGTTAAATCCACCGGTCTCTGAGGGCTCAGTATTCCTCCATCCGTGTGCTTGATGCTCTCAAGCCTCACGGCTGGGCGCCACAACTGCCGATGCGCTCTCTTCTCCCCTCTGCTTTCCCTTGCCCCGGCTAGCCCTGGGGAGAAGGGGAGCGGGCAAACCCACACAGCGCCGCCCAAAGCCCGTGAGGGTTCAGCGGGAGGCGCTGGAGATCTGCCCGCTCCCCTTCTCCCCAGGGCTAGCCTGGGCAAGGGAAAGCAGAGGGAAGAGAGCGCATCGGCAGTCAGCTGAGCAGACAAAGATAAATATTATGCAAGATCAACAAATATTAATTTTTTTATCTTAAATATATGGAAATTCTATTTAAAAAGCTGTACAAGAAAAGTATGGTGAAGGAAATGAAGTCTTGATAATGCTACAACCCCTAAGAAAATATTTTTTTTTAAAGACAGAAAATAGTAGAGCAGAAAACCTATTGAAAATGCAATTTCTTCGTGAAAACTTAAAAAGGTTTGGATTTGGATGGAATTACAACTGATTTTACATGGACAGCACTTCACTCATTGCACACATGCTGTTTAATGATAGTATCAATTTTCAGTTACTAGTCTAACCTGTGGCACATGCTATATTCAATTACAGTTTCAAAGAAAGTTAAAACTTGCCCTTCTCTGAAAAGGGACTATTTTGGGGTTGGTACTCATGTGAAAAAAGAAAAACAAAACTGAGCCTAAAAAGCCTCAAAATACATATATTTATTTTCTATCAAGTGAAGAGTTATGCAATGCACCTGCAATTTTGTATTTCTGACATCCACCTTCTTAGTGGAAATGTTATACATGGTCCAAGTACTAACCTGTAAGGCTGCTTCTGCCTCTTCCAAAGCAGGTTTGGCAGCTTCCAGCTTCTCTTCAGCAATGGCTTTGTCAACTGTGATACTGTCTACAATAGCTTGGGCTTTGTCTTTCACTTTCTGAACATCACCCTTCACATTCTCACCAGCCTGTGTTTTTACAGGAACTTCTTTCAATACCTAGAATGTAAGAAAACCCACATGCCGTAGTTAAAAGTTTTTGTTGTAAAATCATATCTCTCCAATTTCAGAAAACTCAAATAACATCATTTTCTCCAAGATCCTTTCTTTCCAACAATTAACTTCATTTTAATTGATTCATCTTTTCAAAATAGAATAAATAAAAGAAGAAAAAAAAATCAAACAACAATACACTTTGAAGGCTGTACATACCATGTCAGCTTTTTCATTGTCAATTTGAAGTTCCTTTTCTTTTACCTCCAGTTCTCTGCTTAGAGCAGCCACTGACTCAGAGGCCTCTTTCAATTTTTCCAGACCAGTATTTATTCTGAAGTTAAAAAGCAAATTCACTATGTAATTTACACTCTACTTTCCATCGATAGAATAAATCATATCAATCAGAATGAACAATTGCAAGTTATGTTTTACACCAAAAATAAAACTTGGACAGGAATTTTACATTTCTGATATCTTCAGAATCAATAAAGTGGACAATAAAGTACATTAATAAAATTTGTGGCTTGAAATTTTACCTGCCTCTGATCAAACAGTATGCCTTTATCATTGCATAAAAATCCTATGTGTTATTCTAGAAATGTTACTCACTGTCCCTCTTGAGCCAATAATCAAAGAACTGAGTTCCATACAGCAGAAAGCATTTTCTGATCACCGAAATTCTGAAAATTATAACCAATCAATATTTCTTATTTGAAATGGAAACTGAAAAGAAACCAAGACCAAACAAAAGAGAGGAAAAGATAAATAGTATTGAGATAAGACCTCTCTGATTCAGCATTAAAATGCCCCTTCAACAGTGCTTTTTTTCTATCAGAAATTCTTCACCCGGGACCTTTCAGACAGCTTACAAGGCCTCTAGAGAGACTGCTGTTGTGAAGGCTATGCAGTACTTGGACAGCTGAACAAATACAGGAGAACAGACAAAGTGTAACTGCTGACAAATTCAGACAGTGCAAATAAGTTTAAGTGGAAGAAATTGGACTCCGTGAACTAACTTGGTAAATCTGAAGGTAGAAAACAGGGCAACACCCTTCTGTTGTACAAGTCTTCACCCCTAACATAACTACAGGTTTCAAACTCAATTTGACTTTGAAGACAAAGAATGTTTCAAAGCCAAATAAACAAGTTTAAGCCTTTCTTTAAGGTTTCCAGTTCTTTTTGACAATCTTTCAAAACTGAAAAGGCAGTTTTTCTTAAGGGTGATACCAACTGATGCACTGATTGCTAATTTTACATTACAGCTGGGTGCTCCTGACATGAAGATATATCAGCAAATAGATATCATTACTTTAATAAAGCATCTGAAAATAGAAATAAGTATATCAAAACCACCTTAATAATGCACGATTAAAAAGCTCAGGAGTCTAAGTAAGGCTCTGTGCTCACAAAACCACTTAGGACATTCCTTACATATTCATAACAGGAGGTTACAAGTGTCCACTTAGGAAACAAAATTTGCCACCTGACAAATTAAATGCTATTATCAATATAATATAAAATTACATGTAGATGCCTTCTTTTACTCTTTAGAAACATATGGGTATCGTTTATATTCACCTCATATTCCCTCTACCTCTATTTTTCATGCATCACTACTCTTCTCCCCTGCCCCCCCAAATATATGTAGTCTTTATCTTATATGACAAGAGCAACTACAATATTTGAATAAGTTACAACTTCACATAATTTTGGGAATTAAAAATACTTTTTTTTTTTTTTTTTTTGCTGTGTGAGGAGACAAGCCATGCATCGAAATGAAACATATCAGAATATGCTACCTGGGGAAGAAAACTACAGAAAAACAGAAGTAACCTGAGTAGTCTACCTGTTTGATAATATTTGCACTTCAGCATGCTTTTCTTTGTATGTGGTTTTATATCCCTGAATAAAAATCAGGTAGGATTTGGGAGTCACATGTGTAGAACGTCTGTATCTTTGAAAGTAATCAGAACATTTTTCTGCCACTCCATCCTGGAATGAGCCCATACACTGCACAATTTCCATCTTTGTATCAGCAGTGCAGTCCATATCAAATGAGGACAGGAAGTGTTCAGACACTTAGGAAAGAAAGAAAGCCTAAATGTTAGTAAATATTTACAAAAACATCTTAGCTTATAAACAAGTCACTATAAAACAAGTCAGCATGAAGTATCTTAGCTTTCACCCAGCTCCTGAAAACTCAGTCTTCTTTACTCTTCACAGTCAGATTCTGAATATTATTCCACACTTGTCAGTAAAAAGTACAGCCAAGGATCTGTCATTCTTCATCGTCAAAGTGTGCACCTGCTTTTTCACGCTGAACCTAGCTGCTACCTACCAAGGACTGGGTAATCACAGCATTCCTCTGTATGCCCTATCACAGACATATTCATAAATAATCTCTTTCTTTAGTTTATTTGCCTTCTTTACAAATACTTTTAAGACATCTTCATGGGGAATTTTTCTTTAAACTGTGTTCAAAACCATTCCTCTGTTAGAAATATTTCAACAGCTTAATAAAACAGTCTTTAAAGAAGAAAATGTCTACATCAAATATTAGAATCAAGGATTTATTTTGTTAAAATTCAACACAATTAAAACAGCTACATGACCACTGATAAGAAAATTATGTGTCTGCAAAGAAAAAACCTATACATGCCTGCCACCAGAGCATCCTTAGGCCATCGGCTGAACCAATCTATAGTGCATCCAGAAATGAGAGCAGGGAACTTCAGGGCCCTATTTCAGAATTTTTCACCTACTGGTGAAAAGCAAAGAACTACGTGAAGGTTCTGATGGACTCTGGCCATGAAATAGTCATACAGAGCTTCACTGGTTGGAGGTCTTTGTGGATGCTCCTTTTTGAAGGAGGGAATGAGGTCACTAATGATCTCATCTACTTCATCATATGCAAATAAGTTTGACACCTTTGGGAAGAAGGAAGATTTTTCATGCTTCTTGAGATGATCCAAAATAGAGGATACATCATGAGGTTCTTTTAATACACATTATTGTAGGAAGGGACACAAATCTCAGACACTGAAGTTATTAGTACCCCCCAGCTTCTTTAACAAGAAGTTTTAAGTTATTCCATGAAGTTATTCCATTAAATAGACTGAAATGTAACTTGCTGTAAATTTTAAATGCCACCCTCCAATAGCTTTCCTTCCTTATCTTTATATTCTAATAACTAGTAGTAATTACTCTGAAACATAACCCTGAAATAATAAATAAGTAAATAAATGTCGGAACTCAAAATGTCCCTCAGACATTTTCAGAGGTTCCAGGCCTTGGTCAGAAGCATTTTAGACCCTGGCAAGCAGCTGAAAACAGCTGTGATCTTGAGTTTGAACCATGGAATGAGTTACCAACTTTGAAGGTGGAACAAGCGGTCACAGAGGGTTAGATGGTATAGTAAAAGTAGTCACAAATTAGAGGGGAAAATTTTTTAGTATTCCACAGGGGGGTTTTAACACCTGTACAGGGGGGTTTTACTTTGTACAGGGGGGTCAGGAGTTCTAAGATGGGGGAAAGTAGGCCTGATCCTGTTCTTCCTCCTTCTTCTTCCTTACCTCCATGTTCTTGGTGATGTTAGCACTCACAGATTGGTTTAGAGTAGAAAAGCACATTGTAACATGGATAGTAGGTATTGGGGAAAATCTGTAAACATATAACATGTAATATATCATATAAAAGATAGCAGCAGCCCTGAGCGGAGAGAGAGACGACGGGGAGAGACAACGGAGTCACCAGACAGTGAGGGTGTCAGGAGAGTGTGTGTCTCTGCCTGGGCCGCTGACCTAGGCAGCTGCGGTGGGCGAAGACAATCTTTTAGATAGCTAGCAATAAACTGCCTTGAGACCGAACCACAAGAGGCTGCGGAGTTTTTCTTTGGAAGCACGGGTTGGAGGAGAGACTTTACCACCACACGAGACCCCTGAATCAATCCCGGGGATCTCACAAATAAAATCAATAAACCCCATCAATTCTGGACATAAATTTGCCATACAAAAACTAACTGTATACTAATAGTAAATTTAACAGACAACTTTTGCAAACATCAGTAGTA